CAAATACATAAAGAACAGTTAGCACCAGTCTTTCTCGAACTCTTCTAGAGACCGAAGAGGGAGGGGAACACTTGCAAACTTACTCTGCGAAGCCAGCATTATCCTGATACCAAAACTGAAGACTCAAGGAAAATTATAGACCAGTATCCCTTGTGAATGCAGATGCAAAAACCCTCCACAAAAATACTGAAATGGAATTCAACAGCACATTGAAATGATTATATACCGTGACCATTCAAGTTACTTCCAGTCATTCATGTCTTTCCAGCGAAGACATCCTCTGACATGAAGCAGACATCCTCACTGTACACTGTCCAAATTCCTGACCCACAGAGGCATCAAGCACAAGGGCTGTTGTCTGCACCGCTAAGCCTGCGGTAGCTTATTGCACAGCAATAGGTACCTGGAGCACATCCCTTCATGGACCTGCTGTCAGATACAGGGCGAATGGTTCGAGGACCAATTTAGCCAGCTAGTCTAAGTGGGTATGTTGAATGAGGAGCATGTTTCCAGTGAAGATGTCACGAAGGGACATCTAAGGCTGCTGAGACATCCCAACTTTCCGAATATAAATCCAGGGGTTGTTGAATGGAGTTTCTTCGCATGAGTTGCTATAGGCAACTCACCTCAGCACTTGTAGACAGTGAGGCTGTTGAAGGCAGCCCCCTTGCTGCCCAACTGGCCAGCCCCCTGTGCACTGTGCCTTTTGCCTTCACCCTTTCCTTTCTTCCTTCCTTCTGTCTTTCCCCTCTCACTGAGTGTCCATCATGTATGTTACTTTAGGTTCCGGACTGTCAAAGACGAGTGTGCATTAGTCGCGTCATCTATTGTCTGCATGCTATTGCTGTGCCATCTAGGGCCTCGGCGATTCTGAAGGGACTGCCCCTCCCAGGGCTAGCCGGTTCCTGCAGGTAGTAAATAACTTACCTGCTAGTCACTTGTCATACAGACGCACAACCCCAACCTCCTCCTTATGGGGCTCTCAAACTCAGGGCCACAATCCACCAGCCCTAATCACCCCAGGGACAAGTACCTGACAACTAGGGACACCTTTATGCCCCAGTGCCCACCCAAATTCTTCATATTTAGCTGATCTTAAGCCTGCTTGCCCTTCCTCGCTGTTCCCTCGGGAGGAACCACCAAAGGCTCCTGCTCATAATTGCCCCTTTCCCAGTGTTTCTCCATGTGGTCCCCATGGCATGAGATGACTCTTGGGAACTGTCAATCACTAGCTTTTTAGTGGCAGTCATCGTCTTCTCTGTTGGCCTTATTATACCTCAAATTTTCTATTAACACACTATATTTTAAAACCAAATGATACTCAGTTCCTGCCCTAAGGAAACTTAAAATTAGTAGGAAGGGGAGCCTTAAAATAGTAGAACTGGTAACATTCTGTTTTATGAGCTGAGCCGTGTGCAGGTGTGTTCATGTAGTGAAATCGCAGCCAGCATTCACTGTCTCTGCACTTCTCTGTAGGCACACTGTACTTCAATAAAAACATAAACATAAAATAATGGTGGTTTGAAATCCATCCATTAAAGCAACCTCATACACTAAACATAAGTAACCCCCGCTTCTTACAGCAGAATTGTTCGCAGCGGACAGTTCTCCATGATGACACCTCTCTCAGTCCTGCTTCATCACGTCAGTCATCAGCCTGACACTGTTTACCCAGAAATCAGACATGTGGAGATAGGCTGAGAAAAAACTGATTGTTCACTTTGCATTGTTTCTAGGCATTTTCTAGTCAGCTTCCCTTCTTCCTCTTGGGCATTTGGAAAGAAGAGGCAATAGAATAAAGAGATAGAAACATATCCCCTGAAACAGCAGTTAGTTTTTTTTATAATTTATTGGTTTTTCCATCTAAATTTCGAAGTGTAGCTTCCAACCCACTAAACAAAGATTGTTTCAGTGCCATAATCATTCCTCCTTAAAGAAGAAAAACTAGTCATTGTTCAGAGTGGGGTGGGGGAAAATTAGTGTAGAGGTTTGTCCTTGACATGGAATTTTCCCAGCCCTGGGTGCTCGGGAGAAGCACACACAAACCCCAGAGTGAGCATTAGCTTATCTCGGCGCTGCCGTGAGAATGTGCACACACGGGCAAGCCCTCATCTCCCTGGGCCCACAAGGCTTTCCAGCCTGTGCACGGGGCAGGGGACTTGCTCAAATGTGCACATGCATGTGTGGCAGATGGGACTGGACTCACGTCTTCTGGCTCCAAGTCCAGGTGCTTCCCAGCATTCAGTAGGAGATGTGATTAATCATGGACAAGCAAGCATGTATAGAGGGGAGATTCTTTAGTAACCAGGACATCTGATCTGGGGGACCCCCCCAAAAATTGGGTTTCTGAACTCTAGTGTTTCGGTACTATTAAGTCTTTCCTAAAGAAACGTTTGGATGTGGTCAGGGGGTCTACACTCCCCACATTCAGGAGCAAATGTCATCTGAAAATCCTATTCCTTTCTCCCTAGTCCCCAGCAGAAAAGCTGTGTAAACCTTAGATGCTGTGAAACTCTGTCCCGGTGTCCTTGTGTCCTGCCTGCTGCCAGTACGTGCAGGTAAGACTATAGGTACATCATAAACCCACACAGTGTAGTTGAATCCAACCCCGCCCCCCCCCGCCAATAATTCTAAATTAGGGACCTTGACGAATTTCTCCTATATGACTATGAAGAGATTTATGTGGGTTAAAAGAATGGAACTCTGAGAGCAGGTTCTTGAAGGGAAGTTGCTGGGCCAGCAGGTCTATGTCCAGTTTCCTGGCTCTCCAGCACCCGCCTCATCGGTAGCCAGCAGGGTTTGCCCATTTGCTTTTCACATTACCTTCAACCTATTAGTACACTTTGGATGAGGAAAGGTCTGATGGAACTTGGAGAGATGGGAGTGGAGAAGGCACAAAAGCAGGGGGAGACCCAGCAGCTTGTTAGAAGCCCTGTTCTCTGGTCTGGGACTCTGGGGAGGGCAGGGAGCTGGGAGCTCAGCCCAAGGCAGCCCTGGAATCCAGAAGCAAAGGCATGAGGAACAGAGATGTATGTTCAGGTTTCTGCACTGCCTGCCACCCGCACGCTGCAGCCTCAGCTGCCTCCCTGGGAAACAGCTTAACACTAAAACTTGGACTGCCTACTTTCGCAGGGGGCTATGTAGAGGCTCCGATGAGCCAGAGAATGGCCTTTCAAAGACTGTCAATAAAGTACAGAATATGGAGCAGAGAAGATGGTGATGATAATTTCCACCTCCAGCCTGCTCTGAGGGACAAAAAGCACGAGCAAACCACATGCCCAAAACCGCTGCAAAGACGAGGGCCTGGTGCTGTGGCTCCACCAGCCCACGGTAGCAATACTGCGGAACTTGCTCTGGCCCGGGGCCCTAGTGCCCTGGAGTCACCAAAATTCTTCAGTTTGGAATAGAACAAGGGGACAGAGTAAAGAAAGCTCCTCGAGGGGAAAGTTTTGGAGGCCTGACCCTGTTAATTTTATTTAAATTTTCATTCATTCATTATCTTTATGACATTTCACAGTCCTTTAAACATACAAGGTGCTCTCACAAATACTGTATCAGTAATCCTATCCCCATTTTACAAGTGAAGAAACTGAGGCTGAGATCAGGTAAATGCAACTTGCACTTGGGGTTTCTGACTTCAAGTCCTGTGTTCCTGGACACCGACGTTCGGCGAGCTACAGAGCCAAAGGAAAAGATGGTAGGGAGAGAGGGAAAGAGGGGAGAAAGGGAAAGGGAGGAAACGAGACGGGCGAGGGCGGAGGAGAGGGAAAGGAAGGTGAGAAGCAGGGAAGCAAGGAAGGAGGAGCGGAAAAAGAAAGGGTAAAGAAAAGAAAGAAGGAAAAGGACATTTAAGAGGAGCAGAAAGCGCAGTTTACACATCACATACCAGAGGAGTAAGGCTCAGGTCTGTGTGCCAGACAGGGTCGTTGCACGGTGCACGCACACAGTGTCCACTGTGCCCCCGAGTTGCCACACGTGGCTCCGTCGCTCTGACTCTGCTCGCCTTTGTCTGCGGGAACCCGCATCCCACCCCGCCGCGGGTCCAAGCACCTATGCTGCAGCGCCTACGTCTCCACACTTCTTGGTTCACTTGCTTGCGGATTCACTGCGCGGAGCCTCGACCGATGAGCCTCTGGATCAACAGCTAACTGGCTACGGCCCTGGGCCCAGCGCTGGCCGGAGCAGGCGTCAGCCTGGCTCTCTTGCTCAGCCCTCCGAGCCCCGGACTTTGGGGACGCTTGGTATCTACGCAGAACTCCGGAGGATTGAAGGTCGCAGTGATTCGAGAGGCGTCAGACTCACATTTGACCCCGCGTTTCTTAGCACCACCCGCACCAGGGCATGCTCATATAAAGTTGCCCAAGTAAATCAATGCATTGGTGCAAGTTAATGAAGAAATTAAGGAATGGAATGAGCGTACGAGCCTGGGTTCCCGCATGCGGACAGCTCACACTATCGGGGCTGCGCCAGTGCTAGCAAGTGGCTGCTAAACCTCGGGTCCTGGAAAACCCAGGCTGGAGCGCTCTTTCCGGACGAAATACAGGAAATTAAACGATTGGAAACAACAATCATGATACGTATTGTCTCTGCCCCCGCCCCCGCTATTTTCTCCATTTTGCCGTGGGTCTACGGAATCCGACTTGCCCGCTCTGCGCAGCCGGGGTCTCGCGTATCTTCCAAACGTGGTTCCTGGGCGCGGCCCCACAGCGTGCGCGTTCTGCTCAGGAACTACGCTGGGAGGGAGCCAAAGGCTGGCGCCGGAATGGGGACTCCCGCGGCCAGCAAGGGGGCGCTGTCTCCTAGAGGCCTCCGACCCTGCGAAGCACCCTCTCCGCGCTGGAGGGCGGTGGGGTTTGAAAGAGTCGAAGAGAAGTTTTTCCAGGGGTCCTCGGGCTGCAGCACGGTTGCCCCTGCAGAGATCCGCTCTCCACTCCCTACCCTCCCCAGCCCCCAACGAGCTGCCCTCCCCCGGACGGGCGCGGCCCGAGCTCTCCGCGGTTCCCAGAGCATTCTGGCCCAGGATTTTTCTAAAGGAATTTCTGGCAGAGGGGTCCAACACGGGAAATGGCCTAGGCTTCCCGGGGCAGGGAAGCCCGCCTAGACCGCGGACACATTCTCTCCGCACACGTCCCACACCACTCCCTGCCCACCCCACGTCGCCAGCCAGCCCCACCGCTCCACCTCGGGTTCCAGGATGCTGTCTGGCTGCAGGCCACCCACTTTCCAGTCTGCACTGCGCCGTGTCAGGCGCCCTTCGCTGGTCAGCCTCGGCCCGCGAGAGCAGCGGGTGAAGCGCACCGGCCTAGGGTGCCGCTACTGGATCCTGGCTGGAAGGGAAAGAAAACTAAGCCTTCTATTTTTATGTGGAAAGCTGATTCTCGTACGAAAATTATCCGAGGCTTTAGAGATTAAAATCGGGACATTCTCCATTCATTTGCCTAGTTTTAGCCCTGGGGGCGCATATTACGCACCCGCACCCGACACCCCCTGTGAACTCAGTCACTGCACGCTGGGAAATTGAAACCCGGACTCAGAGCTTAAAGGCTCTTTGTCTAAAGTTATATTATGTATAGAGTTTGGACTTCGCATACATTATCTCTGAATCTTCACAAGAGCCCTGTGAGATATCTTATCATCGTCCTCCTTCAAGGATAAAGAATGGAGGCTTAGAGAGATACCCGACTTGCCCAGAGTCACGCAGGAGGCAACCCAAACACAGGGGACAGGCCGGGACTCCAGACTCGCAGTCCTCCAGTGACAATGCTACCTCCTTTCAGGGTCACTTCTGTGGAGCACGCACAGGGGTGGTGCTCAGCAAATGTTTGTGGAATGAATTCCAGAATCTAGTCAAGCCTTGTGATGGCCACGTTTTTATACAGTAGGGTGCGTCTAAGCCATATTTACTCACTCATTTATTCATTCACTTATTTGGCAGTGCCTGAGCACCTACTGTGTGCCAGCACTGAAGTAAGAGCCAGGGAACAGTCCTACTCACACGAAGCAGGGTGACACGGAGCTGTCATTGGAAGGAAGGGGTTCAAGTCCTCCAGGGACACGGTGAGCAATCAGCCCGCGGCCCTCTGAGTTGAGCGCAGGTCCAGAACCTGCAGCCTCCGTCTGCCCTGGAGGTGTCAGGATGACGGGAACCCGAGGGCTCTCAAGTCCTGCCAAAGTCGTAGGGGACGCGTGTGGGAGGGCCCGGTGACTCCACTCGCTCTGTGGGAGCTGGTGGGAGGAGAAAAGAGAAAATACAAGAAGGGAATTCCTGGAGGGAAAAGCTAGAGGCAAGGGAATTGGAGACCTGGACACCAGACACTGGGGTGGGGTGGGGAGGGATGGTAGAAGAGAGAAAGCGCATGGCAGAGTGAACAAGAACTGAGAACGCAGCCATGGTCTCCAAGAGCCAGGGTGCTGCGGGGCCGTCGAAGGGGACCGTCGGGTGGGCACTGAGTAGAACCCGACGCTGGATCCAACCCGAGCCAAGTGTAGCCTCTGGTGATCACTAAAGTTGGCTGGAGGCTGGGGTCCTTTTAGAAAAGCAGTAGGTGTGTTCTCTGGGGGGCGGGGGGATGCATGGTTAATGTCCCTCGTGCCCCGCCATTCCCAGCGAAACCTTTTTGGTCTCGATTCTCTGTAGGATTCCACGCCCGGGAGGAGTTGATGAAGTCTGGCCCTTGGAGGCCGCGGCTAGGGGCCTGGAGTCCGGCTCCTACTTTCGAACGAGGTAATTGCGAACGGTGGCCGCCTCCCTGCTCTGCGGCACCTGCGCCGGGAGCGGGCGGGACGGAAGGCGGCCCCCGGGCGGCGGGGCGCGGAATCCCTGGAGGGACCCGTGAGGCGGAGGGGCGGGCTGGGGGCGGGCGATGCGAAGCGGCCCTCCTTCTCTCTCCGGCTCCCCGCAGGTTTGAGCCGGGAGTCTGAGTCCCGGGACAGGGAGGGGGCCCGCGCGGAGACGGAGGGAGGGGCGGAGCCGTCTTCAAGAGTCATTGGAGGACGCGACAGCCCAAAGCTGATAAATAAGGGGCCGGGACGCGGCTGCGGGCCAAGTTGGACGCCCCGACCAGTGCGAGGGCCAGGCCAGCGCCCGCCCCGCGAGGCGAAGCGAGGCGACCCCCGTGCGGCCATGGCCTCGCTGCTGGGAACTTATCCGTGGCCCGAGGGGCTCGAGTGCCCAGCCCTGGAAGCGGAGCTGTCGGATGGGCTGTCGCCGCCTGCGGCCCCGCGCCCTCCAGGGGACAAGGGGTCGGAGAGCCGTATCCGGCGGCCCATGAACGCCTTCATGGTGTGGGCCAAGGACGAGAGGAAACGTCTGGCGGTGCAGAACCCGGACCTGCACAACGCCGAGCTCAGCAAGATGCTGGGTGAGTGATCCGGCGGGAGGGCGCGCCCGGAGGTCTCGGGCTGGGGACGCAGGCAGAGGCGGCTTGGGGCAAACGCGCGAACCGTGGCAGAACCTGGCAGGTGGGGACGCGTGGAGAGCGCGGGCGTCTCGGTGCCCGCCAGGTTGGGCATCTGTGTGAGCGTGGGTGTGATGGCGGTGGCCGGGATTCAAAGTAGGGACCCCCTGGCAAGGCCCAAAGTGAAACAAGGCGGCCCCGGCGTGGCCTCGGAGGTCCACTCGTGAAGACAGGAGAGGAATTGGGGGTCCTAGGGTACAGGCAGAGCGGGACAGCATCCAGGCCCGGGTCGCCCAGCTATGGAGACCCGCACTCAGAAACTGCCAGGACCGAAACGCTGAAACGGGGTGGAACTGGCCTTTGCTAGGAATACAGGAGTGGAAAACTCATCATTCCATTCACTTTACCTCTGGCACCATCACAGAGGGAGGTGGTAGCGACCATTAACGAATGTTCATAAAGAGACCTTTCCGGAACGCATCACTGCTTTAACTTTGTTATGAAAGCAACAGAAAAAAAAAAAAGACTACCACAAGTAGACTCCATTCGAGACTATTTCTCAATCAGACCAGTTTAGTTAACTTCATCTGGATACTTAGGGCAGCCTTTGAGGGCCTGTCTGTCTGGGAACCTGGCCCGGTGGCTTCCCTAGTGGTGCTGTGCTGTCCCAGCTGGAGTGGTCGGACTGCGGACAGGGCAAGCCAGACAAGAGGAGACAGAGAGGATGTTAGGGCACGTCGGAAAAACCAGAGTTCCTGTCAGGGCTTCTTGTCTCTCCCCTGTCTGGAGCTGAGCAGTTTTCACCTCTGCCCTACTCCTAACCTCTTAGCCCCTTCGATGTAGTTTTTATCCATTTTAATGGGTGGAAACCTTTGAAAGTACTTTGTGTGTGGAGGGGACCCTCGGCCCTGTGAGCAGGGACAGTATGTGGTCACCAGAGATCGGCCCTGCTCTCCCAACCTTACCAGACCCCAAACCAAAAAAGCCGGTTCCTTTTTTGTTGGAGCTTTGGGCTCCTTCCTGGTCGGAACCTTGGACTGAGGCTGCCCACCTTTCTGCTGGTTAAAGCCGCAGGCCTGCAGAGGGTCTCTCTTGCAGTCTAGTGACCCTCTCAAAGCAGCTGGTGGAGTGCCGGTTTCAAAGAGCCTTTTACAGCCCAGCCTCCTGGTTCGCCCTGCCCAGGAAGCCCTTGTCTTAGGGAGCCCCTTCCTCCATAAAAAAAATATTTAAAACTGTATTTTACACTGTTGGCACAAAGACAAATGAATTAGTATACACAACAATAAAACATTTTCTTCAACCTGTAAGTTTATATTTTCCCTCAGATTGCTAAAGAAATAAAAGCACTATTTTGTGGGGCCCTAGTTTTTGTTTTGTGGGTGCTACGTGCTGCTCCTAGGTGTTCTTGTGACAGGAGTACAGCAGGGTTTCTGTTGTAGACCCAGAGCCAGAGATGGAGAAGGACTTGATTTGGGAAGCCTTATAGAATTGAGGCTTCCTGTGTCCAGGGAAAGGGCAGGCCAAGGGACTTGGGTGGCAAATGCCTCTAGTAAGCTGATCCCTGCTGTCTATTTGCACGATAGCTTTCAGAGGTTACAGTTCGTTTTACAGGAAAGACACAGATTCCTTCCTGCTTAACCACACAGCCGTTGGCACTGGGTGAAGGGAACCAACCTGATGTTGCTCTTTCAAATACGGTCTTTCTAATCTGTTCAGAGGATGATGTATTTCCACTCCCATGATCTCGCCCGACCCTTTTCTTTCTGACCTTGGAAAGGAAAGGACTGGATGTGAGTCCCAACTTTTTTTACTATAAGCTCTCTAATCTTTAACATTAAAAGTTTCACCCATGAGCACTAGTATTTTTAGTCCCTACTAAAATTATTATATGAGAAAGCACATAAAGGCAGTTAGTTACCCATTTAGTGGCATTTAAAATTAACCTATATTTTATTAATACTGTAACATCCAGGTATGCTTAGAAACCAGAGCCACATTTTAGGTACTCAGTCCACAGACAGGGGAGGGTGCGGGCATCTGGGTCTTGGGTCTCTTGCAACAACTTTGTGGTCTCTGCCCTAGGCTGTGAATTGCAGACCAGTTAGCTCCAAATCCAGAGTTCCTAACACTTTTCATGCTGCCCTTTTAAGTGACAGCTAATTACATTAATTGATGACTGTCAGAATAGTTATAAACTTTCATCCCAGTGGTGGGACACCTTTGGTAATCACCATCCTCCAGCTGCCTCTGAGGGCCTGGGTGCAGAGCCTGCCAGCACGAGCACAGGCAGGAAGGTGGCCAAACACACAGCTCCACTCTGCACTGTGCAGAGGGATCTGGGCGGGGGAGGCGTGCCGCTCTCCTTACTGGGTTTATCCGGGCCTGTCCTCCAGGCTAGTGACTCTGAAACTTCAGCACACATTAGGGTCATGGGGGAACTTGCCAAAGTTGTAGAATCTGAGTTCACCCTAGGAGGTAACTACCTAAGGGGTCCAGAAGTGACCTTCAGAAAACCTGCAGCTGGCAGGATGTGCAATGCACTTTGAAAGACTCAAGCAATTTACAAAACAACACCCAAGTGAGTAAGGACAAATAGGAAATACAAATGAAACCAGCATTTCAGTACCAGGGGATGCACTTGTGCGGTACTTTTTACAGAGAGAGTTTTGTGTTGGGTAGTGTCACAATGTTATTTTCTAGTGAGGAAAAGAGACCCAGGGAAGTTAAGGGGCTCTTGCTTCCTGTGGAGAGTCCATGGCTGCGCAGGTGCCCCTGCCAAGGTCAGAGGGTCCTAAGATGACTGGAAGCTGCGGTGCATGGGCCTGTGTGTGTACACGTGTGCTTGTTGCATGTGCATGCTTACATACATATGTACATGTCACAGGCTGATGCTAGCATTCTGGCCATGGTCAGGTTTTCACACAGAAGGGTCCTTTTGACCTTCAGATGTAAGGGATAATAAGTGAGATCCTATAATTTAATTACGTCTGTGAAACTACCGAACTCTACCTGGGCTCCCTCAAGGGAAAGCCTGTGAGGTTTATGCCATAAATAAATACTACAATATCACTTCTTGAGAAACAGCAACAATCAGCGAAGGCAGAGAATTTTCATTAAAATGCACAAATAATTAGAATTGCTTCTCCAAGGGTTAAAAGTATCCACATCAATGTCGTGGTCCTTACATGTTTTTATCCTGTGGCTGACATTGGCCTTTAGCTGTGGGGCCCACATTGTTTCCGTATTTGTGTTACCTGATGGATTTTATACGAGAGGTGATGTGACTGTGTGTGTCGTTGGCATGGAGTGGTTTTGCTCCGTGCAGGCGAGGGAGGTTGGTTTGGCCTCTCGGTGCGCTGCGCGGGAAGGTCCATCGCTGGGAAGAGGGCGTGAAGGGGGAGTGCCTTCCTGTATTTTGTGGAGAGGTGGGGCCGCGGACGCGATGGGGCTCGGACGGGGACGTGGGCGCCCGAGTGTGCCCGTCTGGTGCTTGGGGGCGCCAGTCTGAGACAGGTGCACCGGCCGCCCCAAGCCGTGCAGATGCTGAACGTGCCCTTCTCTGACTTGTGTGAACAGGAAAGTCGTGGAAGGCGCTGACGCTGTCGCAGAAGAGGCCCTACGTGGACGAGGCGGAGCGGCTGCGCCTGCAACACATGCAGGACTACCCCAACTACAAGTACCGCCCACGCAGGAAGAAGCAGGCCAAGCGCCTCTGCAAGCGCGTGGACCCCGGCTTCCTCCTGAGTTCCCTTTCCCGGGACCAGAACGCCCTGCCCGAGAAGCGGGGCGCCAGCCGGGAGGCGTTGGGGGACAAAGAGGACAGGGGTGAGTACTCCCCGGCCGCTGCCCTGCCCAGCCTGCGGGGCTGCTACCACGAGGGGCCGGCGGGCGGCGGCACCCCAGGCAGCACGGACACTTACCCTTACGGGCTGCCCACGCCCCCGGAAATGTCGCCCCTGGACGTGCTGGAGCCGGAGCAGACCTTCTTCTCCTCCCCCTGCCAGGAGGAGCATGCGCACTCCCGCCGCATCCCCCACCTGCCCCGGCCCCCTTACTCCCCCGAGTACGCTCCCAGCCCTCTCCACTGCCGCCACCCTCTGGGCTCCCTGGCCCTCGGCCAGTCCCCGGGCGTCTCTATGATGTCCACTGTTCCCGGTTGTCCCCCGTCTCCTGCCTATTACTCTCCTGCCACCTACCCGCCTCTCCACTCCAACCTCCATGCCCACCTGGGCCAGCTCTCCCCGCCTCCCGAGCACCCCGGCTTTGATGCGCTGGATCAGCTGAGCCAGGTGGAACTCCTGGGGGACATGGATCGTAACGAGTTCGACCAGTATTTGAACACTCCTGGCCACCCAGACTCTGCTGCAGGGGCCATGGCTCTCAGCGGGCATGCCCCGAGTTCTCAGGCGACA